GTTAAAATTTAAATAAAATCACACGCAGTTTTTTCCTATATTGAAAAGTAGCCCTCAATTTTATTTTATTTTATTTTTTTTATAGAAGTCTGCCTGTCTGCTTGACTTTCTTCGACTCTGTGGACACTCACATGGACATGTGCTTCTGTACCCTACTGTGATACCTCCCTCAAATCACACACATGCACACACACACACTCAACACACCGACTTGTGTTCAGTGTTTGTGCGTGGGGTTGTAAAAGTTAGGTGCACTTAATAGATGTGAGTCAACTCTACAAAATTCCAATCATTAGTTACAAATGTAATTACCTGTAGAATAACGTTTCATAAAAAGATTATAGTACTTAATTTTCCTCTGTTGGAGGGGTATCCACTTAAAAAATCACTCTCTGTAGTACCAGATAATTAGCCATGATTGAATGATTGCCATGTACCAGTGCCACTGTGTCCACCTAGCAGACTCAGTGGGAGAAAATACACTTTCACCGAGTGTTCTTAATTTGATTGGGAAGACCTATTGCCAGTGTTTTCATAGTTTTTTGTGAGCCAAATGTAGCTCCCAGGTAGGAGCTGCAAAAGTGGGGAAATGTTTTTGTTGTTGATGAGTTGCTGTGTTGCTTTATTTGGCTTTGTTTTTCAGTGTTGGGGACTGAACCCAAGGTCTGGTGCATATGTTTAAAGCTTTGCTCTACTACTGAGCCCCACTCTCAGCCAAGTTAGTTTCTGTATTGGTCTTCACTTCCTCATGTATTTTAGAAAGTTGTCCAGTTGCACAAGGTACAGTGCTACTTTAGGCCATGTGATTGCTTAGTCTAAGGTACAAGCCTTGTTGTATGAGTGAATCTCCCATGAACCACGACTTCACCCAGAGTCCTCAGAGTCCCCCAGATATGGCAGAGGTAATTGTGTGTCTGCTCCAGCACTGGACGCATTTTAAATTCAGTTAGATTTTACGTGAATAGGGGTGTGTTGTGTAGTAGGGAGAAAAATGTATTGAGCGCATTATTTGCAGATGTGATGAAGTTAATGTTTAGCATAGGCAGATGCAAGGATGTTTCCATCGTCTTGATCTGTGTTTCCTTTTCATTCTAGCAGGGTTGTCTGCCGAAAGTTTTGTTTCTGTGCTGGGTTTGTGCAGTTCTTTGCCTTGTTCCCTTTGTGGGACCCAGTGAGCCTGTGGGAGTGCGGGCAGCTCTGCCATACCAAGTGCTGCTCTTACCCACGAGATGTTTCATAAATTATGTATAACAGTAGATGCCACTCAATAAATATTTTATACGTGATAGATATTTTCTTCTAAAATTACTTTTTCACTCGAGCAATGATTTAAACCCTCATTTTCAGTTTTACGAGATGACACTTTTATAATATCGTGTAGTTGAATGCAGCTTGAATGTCATAGAGCTTTAGGGCAACATTAATCATAAATTCATCTACCCCCACTTTCAGGCCTGAAAAACTTTCTCCTCATTCAGGTGCTATCCATTAAACGTGTGGACGAGCATGTGAGAGTGTATGAGTGTGTTTTTGTGTGTTGGGGTGTGTGTGTTGGGGATGGTTGGGAACAAGTAATGCTTTTGACCTAATGGCTTTGAAGTTACACATCTCCAGTCTCAAAGTCTGTGAGACTTGGTTCAAGGAAGAAAAAGAAGTGTTTTTCAATTTTTAAAAAAGAACACTAAGCTAAACTTGGATGGAGTCCAAAGCAATTTCCCCACCTTGTTGGAAGCTATTCTAGTTTATTATTCTGCCTTTCCTTTTTCTTCTTTTTTTTTTTTTTTTTTGAGGGGAGGAGAGTAGCATATTTTTGTACAGAAAGAAAATACATACGGCCCTAGGGTTATGAAGATAGTCACTGTCTTTCTCACATGGACCTGGAGACCTGAAGCAGTCCGTCTCATGGGTCTCCTCCCTTTGTGTGCACTTCTGACACAGTGAAGAGCCCCCACACCTTCCAATGGGGACATTGTGCGATTAAGTTCTCTTCCATAATATGTATTTTTAAAAGGAGAAAACTTTCTACTTATGTTTGAATTCCATGGGCAGGAGGGAGAGCATGAATTCTACCAATGTTTGAGTGGGAGGAGGTAGGGGTTGTTTTATGTAGAGTGCTGTTTTTAGCAAAGATTTGCAGGGGTCTTGGTGTAGTAAATCAAGGTCACTGAAGTCTCCCACCTCACAGCCTGAGGTTCTGAACCATGGAATGGGAGCCTGGCTGATAGGAGGAGTAATTGAAGAACAATGATACGCTTCATTTCCTTTTCTTGAATCTAAGTTACGCATTGGTCATTTTCTCTGCATATCTATTTAATGGTTGTTAAATTAAATTGCTTTCTTTCAAGTGGTGATTTTTATGTTTTTTTAAAGCCATCTTTTTTTCTCTTGCCACTTCATTCCATTGCCCTTTCCCATGACTCTACTCCAAGTCTGCAGCTGTGCATTTGAGACATAAAGGTTTGCAGAGAGGAGGTCTGAGGAAGTCTTCCATCACCACCCTGTGCTGGAAGCCCTTAGGAGTGCCCTTGTCCGGAGGATTTCAGTTCTGCTTTGACTCTAGCTTAAGCAGTTCTGAATCCTTTGCTAGAGCATGGTAGGCTGTGCGTTGTTTGCATATTTGAATGACAGCAGAATAACATGAATCCATGCCGGGAACATAAATAATAGTCTGCACCCTCTGGCAGGTAGGTGTGTAGGGAGGGGAGATTCACCAGGAACAGCTCTGACCAGTACTCTGGTTAGCAGCTCAGAACTTACTCCCAAAGTGCCATGCTTTGGGGTGTGATTCAGGCTGAACTCAGCATTGCTCAACCTTGATCTTGAAAATTTCACCATTTCTCTTACAGAATTTGTCTGCTTCCCACTTTGAACTCCCGTAATAGCCTGATATTAGAGGTTCTTTGTCCTGGGCCAGTTGGGCCCGACATTAAGACATCGTCCAGCCAGACTCCTCTGTGAGGAAGGCCATGCAGAGCTTGCTATGAGCCTCGCCCTTTACTGTGTGCTCTTCCCATTCATTTATGGGCTGGGGAAGTTGGCCACTCACTGTGTAATGATCCCTGGGGAGAGAGACAGGACTGCACATGAAGCCTGGTTCTTGCTGTTCCGTGCAAAGGGCTGAGGGAGGGGGCTTTGAGCAGATCATGAAGGAAGTTGATGGTCCATGGTGCATGTGTAACGGGGCAGTGATGCTCACCTGAGGCCTGTTTGACCCCCAAGGAGACATTTGGCAATATCCCCACCTGGGGGAAGGGCAGTTTTGCTACTAGTGTCTATGGGTAGAGCCTAGGGATGCTGCTAAGTGTCCTGCAGCGCCCAAGAGTGAAGACCTATAGATGTCAGCAGTGCTGAGCATGGGAGACCCAAGCAAGAGCAGGAATCAAACGACACAAAAGTAGGAGGAACAGCATCGACTGAGACCGTAGGAGGGGGCAGACTGATAAGCAGGAGGCCTCGTGAGCAATCACTGCCTAGAGAGAAATGAGCATTGGGGGCGATAGACCATGAGCAAGGCCTGAGGTCTGCCAAGCTTGTGAAGCATTGCACAGTGTGGGTTTTCAACTCAGTGAAATGGGTGGCCACTTAAGAGAGCTGAGCAGAGGAATAACCTGCTCTAACCTCCTCTGGCTGCTAAGTTGTTCTGTGTCATGGGATTTAAGTGACAGCCTGGATTACTGCGAAAGATGGTAATGATTTGGGCTGGGACAGAGTGGTCACAGGTGGCTTGACATACTAGATACAGAGCTATTTTCAAGGTAAGAGTCAGCACTATGGGTTTAAGGTTTGGACTAGAAAAAGAAAGGAACAAAATATAGCTGTGAATTTTGGTCTGAGTAGGTGCTGAAAAATTGGCATTTCCTGTGAATGGATCTGTCTGGGGGTCAGGGTTATGCTTTTTAACATTAAAGATGGGCTGCCTGTTGGCCATCTGCACAGGTATATCGAGTTATGTGGGCATTATTATGGTTTAGGTGTAAGATATTGCTCAGAAATCTCATGTCTTTGGAAGGAAGTTGGATCATGGGGATGCTGTAATCATAACCTGATTATAACCATAATTATAACCTGATCAGATGGGGCTGTGATCTCTCTGGCTGGCTCCTCCTTCCTCTTTGGATGCTGTGGTCTGAGCAGCTTTCCTTTGGCATGTCCTTCCACCATGCTGTTTCTACCTTGGAGTTGGCTACCCAGAGATTGAGTCCCTTGAAATTGTGAGCCAAAGCTGGGTGTGGTGGCTCAGGCCTATAATCCCAGCACTCGGGAGACTGAGGCAGGAGAATCGTTTCGAGTTTGAGACCAGCCTGGGCTACAAAGTGAATTCAAGGCCAGCCTGAACTGCATAGAGACCTTGTCTCAAAAAGACAAAAAAAAAAAAAAAAAAAAAAAAAAAAACAGAGAGAGAGAGAGAGGGAAAAAAGAAATTGTGAGCCAAATAAACCTCTGTGGCTTTAAGTTGCCAGTGCTGGGCCTCAAGGGTAGGATAGTGACTACTGTATAGATCTGTAAGTGCGGGGCTTTAGAGGAAAATGATCCAGAAGACAAGAGAAGCTGGTGACACAGGAGACAGTTACCTCTGGTGCCGGGGATGCCAAATGTGCACCAAAGAGTCACTTTCTGAGAACATGCAGAGTCCCATGGTGATGGGTGAGAAGAGCCACCAATTGAGGAGATTTTCATTTTGAAGTGAAGTAAAAGGTTCTGAACAAGGGAGAAAGATTACTTCGTAATGAGTGATCCTAAAATCTTTCCTGGGGAAAGTGGCCTTTGAGAAAGTTACAGATCAAGCTATATAATTCATTTTGTATTGGGCTTCTTATATGTCCTGTGTTCACTGCAGATCACCTGCCAGGATTTCAGTATGAAGTTTTAAGTCCATTTTTCTTGCATTTGTAAAATAAGAAATGAAGTGCTTTTTAAATTTAAACAATCTAAGGGACACTTAGTATGAAGTTTTCTTACTCCAAAATAACCTTTACCTTTTTTCCTTTCCCTAATTTCAGGAACAGACCTTGGCCCTTAGGAAGGAAGGGATTGGGGTGGTTTTGGATTCTGAGCTGCCCCATCTGATTGGCATCGATGATGACCTTCTGAGCACTGGAATCATCTTATATCACCTGAAGGTAGAACCTGCTTACATAGGACATTTATTATTATACTTTATGGCTATGAATACAATTATTAAAGAATCTATACAAATTGCCAAGCCCTTTGGGAATTCCCAGCAGTTCACTGGACTTCTGTGGTCTTTAACATTCCCAGGTCCATGTGCAGTGGTTTGAAAGCTAAATGATGAGTTGGTCATTTCGGCTTCATTTTGTAGAAGCAGGAAAAAAGATGGTAGGAAGGAAAAGGCAGAAAGACAGGAAGTAATAGTTAAAATGCCCAGGGCTAGGATGTATTGCATGTACTATTCCTGGGTCCTTGTAGTCATTATAAGTTTGCACTTCCTGCTGTTATTGCTGGGTTTGGTTCTGAGTAGTTTTATTCCTGTCCAGCAAGCAAAGTTCCACTTCGGTGGTTGTGCCTGTGACGTTGATTTTAATGTCCTCTCTGATCCATGACCTAAACTGGGAAAGATGCTATGTGACTTCCCATGTACCATACCTTCAGATACACACAACGAAAAGTCAGCCTGGGCCATGGGCCCTAGCACAGATTGGGGAAGTTGGTGACACTGTTGGCATGAGTGAATTGGTGACATGGGCCAAGTAGAAGCCTAACCATGGCCAAGCAGCAACCTCAGCAGTGACACTATCATTTTCCATACTTCAGGGCTGTGCGTGGTGCCTTAGTGAACTTCCCTGTGTGGAGAAAGTGCCTATTTCGTTGGCTGTTAAAAGTGCCTGTGTTCAGTGGGGAGAGGGAAGCAGGCACCCTGTTATCACTAAGAAACATTATTTCACTCTTCTTCCCAGGAAGGTCAGACATATGTTGGAAGAGAAGATGCTTCAATGGAACAAGATATTGGTGAGATTCATCAGTTTTCTCTTCCCACTGAATTTTTAAAGTATATTTAATGATGAGCTTTGTTTTCAGTGACACTGGAGTAATTATAAAAGAGAGTTATTTTCAAATATGGTATCGTTCAGTACAGTATGAATGTCTCTATAAGTGTGAACAGTATTCAATAAACAACAGTGATTCATTTAGTGAACAAAATGGAACTACAAATTCCTTCTGCCACCCTGCATACATTTCTCCCCCTTGGGTCTTTCATTTGTCGTAGCAAGATAGTGATTGATGAAAATATGCCAAAGGCTACAGAAAATCCACAGCCTTTTCCAGGAAGCATGTAGACACTTCTCTGTACTTAGATGGCGACATAGTAGAAGACACCATAGCCCTCAGATGCAGGAAGGTCTGCCTTGGTGCATTCTCAAGGGGTTCTCACAAGGCTCACACACAGCCAGTGGCTGGAGCTGAGCAGATAAGGGCCAGCCGGGTTTTCCAGGGCATCACGGAGGCAATTTGTAGAGGAGAAGCCAGTGTGGTAGATGCATATGTGTGTGGGGCAGGATGGGGATTGGCAGGGGAAAAGTTGTATTGTTTTGGGTGTTTTGAGAATTGCTGACTGTGAACCTGTAGTGTTGCCCAGTGTAAGCTATTAATCAAGCAAGTCCCAGAACGTTGCTATGTGTATTTCCTGTTAACTGTAAATAGCCTGGGAGAGCTGAAAACCAACCCCAGAAGCCCACAGGTACAAGCATTGAGTAGGCCTATTTGAATTATGCATCTGACTTTCAGGATAGCTGTAAATGGTGACGATTGGTAAGAACACATTCTCTCCAAGCCTGGAGAAGCTCAGTAGTGCAGTGTGTGGAGGGAGCAGAGCTGTGTGGCCTGTATTCCCGAGTTACTGACCAAGAACGTGGCTTCTACCCATACGTTTCCTCTGTGCTGGGCCATTCCACAGGCAAGAGTAACCAAGGTCAGCATGATGAGGGGAACCTTAGCAGCCCTGTGCTCCAAGGGGCCTCAGAATCGGCACAACTTATCGCCAAGGATCTCTAGCACAGTTTCTTGGGTGGCTTCTAGAAAATATTTATTCAATATCAAACAGAGCAGCTCAGTGGTACTGAGTTGTAACAAGCTACTCGACCCTTCTCTCCCTGAGGAAGAAATAAGTGGATGCCCTAGAACTTGTTTTCTTGTGCAGGTTCTTTCTGGACACTGAGCCAACAGTTAAATGGTTCTTCCATTGTCTCAGGAGTTCTACATTGTAATTCTCTTGCTAAACATAATAAATATTCTCTTTATAATCCTTTTGAAGGAAAGAGAGTATTCCAAATATAAAATCAGTAGCTAAGTGGTTGGGCACCATTGTGGTAGACACCAAATGGGAAAGTAAAGGCTTTCTTCTTCGTTTTTCCAACTTAGTTCTTCATGGCCTTGACTTGGAGAGTGAGCACTGCATCTTCGAAAACGTTGGGGGAACAGTGACGCTGATACCCCTAAGTGGGTCCCAGTGCTCTGTAAATGGTGTCCAGATTGTGGAGGCCACGCACCTAAATCAAGGTATGTATCTGGTCTTTGGTTTTCAGAGTTCTTTGTATAGAGTGTTCAGGAAAATACGGTGATGAGGCAGTGTGAGAACACGTGTTTTAAAATTAACTACTGAGTAGGTGCAGACTGTTTGCTGTATTGTGCTATTCTCTTCTGTTTTGCTGGAGGGCTATTTTGTAATATCCATTTTCTTCTTGAATTAAACATGAACATACATGTAGTCATCTTAAAAGTTGTTGCTGTTGTGGAAAATGATATCAGGTGGTTTTTTAAAGTTAAAACATATTTCTCAAATAGAGGATTTGGTGTTAGGTCTTTTTGTCTTTGGAAATAATTTCAATATTAGAGAAAAGGTGCAATAATGGAAAACAGTGTTTTAATTGCAGAACTGTTTGAAAGTAAATTTCTGTGTTAGCTTCCACCACTGTAACAGTCATAGAAGGTACTTTACCTGCAAAGAGAGAAGCTGTACTTTGGCGCACAGTTTTGGAGGATCCCATCCATGATCAGCTGATTAGATGGGGCCTGTAGAGAAGCAGCACACCTGGACTGCAACAAAGCAAATCTACTTCTCTCATGCCAAGAACTTAAAGAGAGGAAGGGAAAAGGCTAGGATTCTGCGGTGCTGACCAAGGGTGCACTCTGTTACCTGAACTCCTATCACTGGGCCCCACCTCTTAACACTTCTGTCATCTCTCATTCCTGCAATCCTAGGACCAAGTCTTCCAACACATGGGATTTTGGGGAGCACTCAAGATCCTACCTGTAGTGTTACTACATCACCTCTGAATATTTCACTGTATATTTTCTTCACAAAGTGACATTCTCCTGTATAGCTAGAAGACAGTGTCCAAATTATGAAACTGAAGCTAGAACATTTCCACCATCTCTAATCCTGAGACATTACTCACATTTTGCCATTTGTCTCAACAGTGGGCGGTACCAGTCCAGCACTTTGTGTTAAATCTGGGTGACACATCTCTTCTGGCTCTTTTGGTCTGGAACTGTTCCTTGGTTTTTCTTGGATTTTTTTTTTTACTTAGGCTGTTTTGAAAAGTATAGGCCAGACACACTGTAGAATTCCCACCTACCTAGATGTATTTATCTGATAGATTATCATAATCTTACTGATATATATATATCCGATCCTGTTTTTCCTTTCCCATCACATGATTCTTATGTGCTTACTGTGGTCCTTGGTTGAGGCAGAACTGGCTAGGCTTCATCAATGTGAACTTACTCTTTACCCCTTTTGTTGTTAATCAACATGTTGGTAAGGCACTTGGAGATCACAAATATCCTGTATCATACATTTTTTTATCCATTGGTTTTAGAATTTATGTGTTTTTCTTTTTCTGAATTATTATTTTGATGATTGTCAAAAGGTGGTTTTATTATTTTCTGTACATTTATCAACTGACCTTGAAGCTTCTTGCTATTTATTTATCTAAATCATCTATAGTCATAGAGTTTGTTGTCTTATGTAGTAGGCTCTGGTATGTTTTTCCATTATGTATTTTGATGTTCAAATTGTCCCAGATTTGGCCACTTGTTCCTTCAAGCTGTGTCCTTTGGGTTTGCCCTCCTCTGTGAGCCTTGTTTGCTTTCTGACATGTTGTATTCTAGGCTCATCTTGTGCTTCCCATGCTCATCCTGGAATCAACCAGATCTCCAAAAATCACTAGTTGCTTGTAGAGTATGTAATGTTTAATGTGTGTAATGTCTAGAACTTAAGATGTAGTTTGGGGATTATCTTTTTGCCCTTTCCTTATCCTATTTAAAAAAAAAAAAGGTTCTAGCTTATATTTAGTTTTGAAGAAATTGCTTATGTCTCTAAGTCTCTTATGAATTAAAGCTTGGCAGATAAATAATATATCTCATGCAGTATTTTACTAAGTTTTTTTTTATTTTAAACTTTTGCCTAAATGGAAAGTCCATATTAAGAATATACATACTCAGTTTAGTGACTCAGGTTAGAAGCTACATTTTGATTTTACTGTCATAGATACGACTTAAGCCACTAAGAGAGTGGTAGCACTAATTGATATTGAAGGTTAATTGTTGGACTTGTCTTTCCCTGAGGGGTGCTCTTAATTGTTTTATTACCACAGTGGCATGGTTTTCAGATCAGATGAGCTTGAGTTCCTCTGGCATTCAGCTGTGCTGTGAGCAGCTTTCTCAGTATCACTGTTAATGAAATTGATATAAAAATGCTTTGTTCCAAGGTGTTAAAAAATGCTGTGCACTGAGTATAAATGTCATTAACAAGTCTTAAGGCAGTGAGATGCAAGATGACTTCGTGATTCAAGGCATTATATGAGCAGAGCAAGATTGTAACTTTATTTTTCTAGTTTTACTTATGCAAACTTTAACAGTGAAAGTCCTATCCAAGGGAAAATATCTACAGTCTTTTAGAAATTATGGATTAGAATTGTCTACCTAATGTATCTCTGTGTTTAAGGACTATCAAAATGAGAATGAGAGCACATTTTTAAAACGCAATGGTATTCTGTGTTGTTTGTGAAAAGGACAATATATAGTTTAAAAAAATGTGAATGAGGCTGAAGAAGGGTGGCTGCTGGAGAGGAGGAAGTTGTATTAGGGTTTGCAATTCCTGGGTAAAGGTTGCCACCTGAATCTGTTTGATGTTACTAAGGAAAAAGGCAAAAGCAGAAAAGTACACAGACATTAGAACATAATAAATGTGGAACAAGATTAAACACAACAGGACTTTTGTACCCAAAATCCTGCCTTGGATTTTCCCCACCAAAAAAAATTTTTTTTCAAGTAAATCACAGCATTTCTACATAGTCATGCACTCACCTAGGTAATTTGTGCCATCCAATCTGCTGAATTAACAAGTGGATCCAAGACTTTTTGAGATGAACACTGGAGTAGCTATATAGCTGCTGTATTGGGGCAGAAGACTGGACCAAATAATTACAAATTATTTATTATCGCTCATGCTCACATGCATGCCTTATCCCTCTGAAATTTAATTCATAAGTCTGTACTGAATTATCTCTTTAGCTTTTCAGGCCATATATGCATTGTATCCCTAGAACTGAGGATCATGAAGTCCAGCCATCCTGGCCTCCCACATTTGTCATCCTAATCCCAGTACCTGACTTATTAAAGTGGTCAGTGGCCTAGGACCCTTCCTCATCCAGTGTCTCTTAGTACTTAGAATGAACCTCACTGGTATCTGGCCCATTGATCAAAATAGAGACTTCCTTTTATAGAAGGAAAAAAGTATATCAAGGACAGAAAATGCAGGCCCATGTTAACCCAAAATACAAGGATTTCTAGCTATATTGAGTGTACAATTAACTGGCTTACTGGTCTACCTCGTATTATCAGCAACATCCAGTTTCACTGCCAATTGCTAGTATATGCTAGTATTTTATGTTCAGATTTCTATTTTCAAGTAAATTACTTTCATTTAAAAATGTGTTAGTTGGGCTGTCCAAACCAGAATTAGTAATTACCACTTCTTTATTTAGGTCACTTAACACACAAGACTGTCAGGTAATAGATTTATCTGAATTTAACAGATTGTCACTACTAGGTACAAGTTTTGTTCCTATGTCTGTTAATTGTCTTCTAGATTCATGTACTATTTCCCCTGTATTACATTGCAGATTTTTTTTCATTTCACTAAAATGAAGAGCACTTGCTAATGCTGAGAGCATGGATTGAGCAACATATGTATTATATATTGCCAACACCGGGTGTATGATGCTTTTCTCCTTGTCCTTTTGGAGTGCATAGGAAAAATAACATTATATCTGACCACACTCTTTATTGATGTTTTCTGCAAAGCTTGGCTCATCTCACTCCTACACTCCCATAACCTGAGTCCACAGAATGGTTCCATGGAAAGAGAAAAGTATGAATTTGACCATGATGTTTTATCCATAGACTTGGAGCTCTTATTGGTGGAAGTTTAGACTCCAGAATTTTCCTTTTCTCCATATACCTAATATGAAATGGTACAACAGTCAAGCATATTGTAACTCAAAAACTATTTCAGCATTTGTCCTAAAATTGCTAGGAATAACTCTCTTGTTTTAATTATTTTTTCTTTTTACTATAACATTATTTTAAAGCTGATAGTTGTTGAATGTAATTAATTTTTCCATTCCCTTCAGTGGACTCCTTTGGTCTTCTAGCTAGTTTGTCAGATCCATTGAAGATTCATCTCTCATTTGAGAAGTGCCACAGAAACTTCATCTGGGAAATTCACACTTAGGTGCATTTGAATGTGTTATGCTTGAGTGCCAAAATATATTTGCATCTATTCAACTACTCTGAAAGGAGAAGCAGGTGATTGTCTGCAGAGTGGAGCTGAGGCGCCTTTGATAAAATTTTCATCTGCTGGAGGGCTGCTCTGAGTTGTTCAGTGACAAATTAAAAAAGACTTTTAGTGGAACAGAAAGAGAAATAGATCTTCTGGTGGTTTGGCTAAGGTACCTTGTTAATACAAACAAGCTTGTGTACACTATACAAAGCCAGCAGACACCAGTGTCTGCCCCAGCGGACTCCCTTGTACTCATTCCTAGGCACCCACCAGACGTTTTCCTTATATTGGAAACCTGAAAATCTGACACCATTGCTAACACGGGCTGATTGCAGTACATGTTTTTGAATACCAAAGCCCAGTTATCCTTATACCCAAAGTTAGGACAGGCGCCTCGATCAGCTATGTCAGCATTTCCTGAGAACCTGTCAGAATCACACATCCCCTTATGCATTCTATCCTAGACCTGGGAATGTGGCTCAAGTAGTCTGGTTCTGGCTTCTGTAGGTGATTCTAATGCATGCTTGAGCAGGGGACCTGACAAAAGCCAATCATATTGAAATCAGTTTCCTGTTGCACAGGCTTGAGCACATGAGATAATCACCTGTCAGCCTCTTTTTATGGCTTTCTTTCTTTGTCTCTCTCATATGTTAGTTATTATTTTTCTGTGCTTTTTAAGCTTCATTATCTATGTGGGGTTTTATAATGTGCTTTGGCATAGATTACTTGAAGTTTGCCTGTCTGAGGTTAATCAGGCTTCTGGAATCCATAGATTTTTGTCTGCACCAGATTTGCAGTTTTTATCCATTTACAATTTTTTTTCTGCTGAATATCCTTTTTCTTATTCTCAAACTCCAATAATATGAAATTCAGATTATTTTAGTAATATCCCTGGTCTCTGTCTATTTTTATTTTTACTAACAGTTAATGAGTAGTGTTGTTGGTAACACATGAATATGGCCTACTGACCTTGTTATGTCTTGCATAAAGATGCCTCATTCAGTTATACATTGGCCTTTTTCAGAACCTGAATCTAGAGTGTGTGATGCGGGGCTTAAGGGTATGTGTATTGTTGTTAATCAACCCACTGATTGGTTTGGCATCACCCTAATCTTGGTATAAAAGGAGCAGAAAGATGCTGTTAAGGTCCCTTCCTTACTTTACTTCCTTCTGCTTGCTACTGTCTCTCCTCTGTAATGTCTGTCTGTCACATCACCTTGCCTTGAAGCCAGCCAACTATGATTTGAAACCTCTACAAACTGTGAGCCGAATCTTTCCTTAACTTTGGGCATCAAGTATTTTATCTCAGCAATGAGAAAAGTAACCAAGACAAGGGTTAATGGAAAATAGGTCACTAATAATATGGTCAGTTATTATAAATCCTTCTATTTGGTACCATGCACATTATTGTGTTATCATCTATTGTCTTAAATTGCCCTCTAGTTGTTTCACACACTTCCTGCATTTCCTGTAGGAAGAACAAACCTGTTTCGTACTGAAAACACTCTTTACTTCTCCCCATGGAGTGTTAAGAAGGGAAAAAAAATCAGCCCCCAATCTCCAATGCACACTTCAGAGATTTCCCTTTGGGGTGAAACTGGAACACCTTGAAATTTTACAAAAGGCTATACTCAGCTGATGCACAGTTCATCAAATAATTCTTGATGGCTTGTCTAGCTAGAAAGATTAATAGCAAAGATTGAAAATCGATTTTCTTCTTTTTTCTCTAGAATTCTAGAGTTTAAATTTGCAATTTTTACTTTATCAAGAATAAACAGTGCTTGAATTGATTTATCTATTGCAGGAAATTATAAATCCATATTTGAATTATAAATATTGGAAAGGAAAGTGACAGGGCCCATGTGGCTTTTTGGTAAGGTGTCAGGTGCATTTATACTTTTGACAAATGCTGTCTGATAATATGGTGGCATCTTTTGATGGTGATGCCTGCTCCAGTATCAGATTGGTATAAAATGCCTGTCATTTATGCCCAATGCCATGCCATCAGGTGTCCTGTTTGAATCCATTTTGTGAAATTTTCTCATGTGCCACAAAACCATGCCAGATCTTAATTTCCCATTGTCTAGATAAAGTATTTTAATTCAGGTGCCTTACATAATAAAGTCAATGTTATGATATTTTAAGCGTATTACTTAATCTGTTCTTAGGTACTGACATATGTTGTGAGAAATTAAGACCCCCAAACGATGTCTTCATCGTAATTTATTTCAATAAAAGTATTTTTATGACGTTTTAATTTAGAAAGAAAGTCACAACACACAGTCTCCTTCCTGAATCTGAGGACTTACATATCCTCCACTCCAACGTCTCCATGATATTTCAGAAAATTTTATGTCCCTCTAGTGCCCAGCTTCTCCAGCTGCCACGTCTAAGATGAAAAGCTCTCCTCCTGAGAGCATTCTTCAGAGGCATTTGATTATGTCCTGTCTGGGGTCTGTGTGGAACTGGGGTAGGTTCTAAAGTGATTAAAATACAGTAGTGAAATAGCAAAGGCCTACTGGCTTTTATTGCTGCCGTGGTCTCTTAGTTCATGTTACATTGCACTTAAGGGAATGTAGCTGTCTGCTGTCACTTATAGCCCAGAATAATGTCTTTTGTATATCATCACCTTCAAAGTACTCATATGACAGCATTTAGCAGAAAAAAAAGAGTTTGTTTCTACAATAGCCTTTAGAAATTTTCATATAAAATTTGAGGAGGAAGATACAGTATTGTACTTAATGGTGATATTAATAATTGTTCTCTATATACTGATTAGAAATCACAAATATTTATATGCTTATTCTTTCAGTGTACTTGAAATACTAAAATTAGAAAGTCTCATATAAAACCAACAATCATTGTTCATGGAGATTTAAATGAAGCTTTTTATCTTACTTTTTTTTTTTATAATAAATGGCTTTGTCTCCCCTTTTACAATGTCATTTCCCCTTCATTCCTTTTTAAGACCGTCTGGAATTTGTCTGTCTTCAGGTACTTAACAAGCTCTGAAGTAATCTCAGAGAAGCCATCATATATTTCAAGGAGGTTTAGACATGCTTTCAAAATTACAAATTAAGTGTATCACAAAAAGTCCATCTGCTGGGATTAATCACATTAACCTCAGAGCAAGAAGCATTTCATAGTTAAAAAGAATTTAAAATCTGGAAGCGACCTTAGAAATTGCCCTATTTTTTTTTTTTTTTTGACATATTGCACCAAACCTTAAGACAAAGGACACTGGACATTAAGAAAGAGGTCCACCCCAGTCTTTAGGGTCTAGTGCAGTTACTTTTCTTCTTGTGTGTACTCTGCTAGCATTATTACAAAAGAAATTGCCCTATTTGATGAGTAAATGAAGAGACTGATTTCTGGAGTGGTTGCCACCCAACTTGTCTTGGCCAGCCCAAGATCACTGGGTAGGACACATACTCTTGGTCTCACTGAGAAACTTCACACCATTGGCCATTCTTATTCGTGGGTTTCATTCATTCACACATTTATTTATTCATTTACTCATTAATTCTTCTATTTTCTCCAGCTTACTTACTATTTTTTTAAAAGATACTCATGAATGTTAATAAAAACTAAACACCCTGTGGGGTGTGCCCTCCCCACCCTGACTACTGCCAGAACGTCTTTTTTCATGCCCGGTCTTCTCCGGCCTGTTGTACCCATCAGATCTGCATTTCCTTAACTCTCACTCACTTCTCAGCCCCTTTGTCTTGGTTTGGCCACTTCTCATTAAGCTCGCACCAAGATCATCACACCTGTGTGGCCTAATGTCTTCATTTTAGGAGCACTCTCAGCAGACTTCTGCATTACAGGCCTCTTCTCCCCTTGGCTTCTGAGGGTTTCCTTCTCTCTTTGATGCCCCTCCTCTATTTTCTTTGCAAGTTCTTCCTTTTTGGCATTAAAGGCCAGCGTTCTCCCAAGTGTACCCAGTCCTAGGTCCACCTTCCCTCTGCTTCCCTTTTCTCTTGTTGGGTGATATTCTCATGTTTGTGGTTTCATCTGTTAAAGCTTTGAAATAGATAAAAAGAAATAGTGTTTTTCCTAATATCTTTATACATGTATGTAAATGCTTATATAAACATACATCCAGTTATCAGATAGGTAGTAGATATCCCAGGGCTTATTTCTTAAGAGTCTTGGGCCCATAGTTTTATTTGCTAAAGGCATCTCAAATTCATTTAAAACCAAAACTGAGATTTCTTTCTCACCCTAGCCTTGGTCTTTTTCCAGTGTTCAAGTCTGCTTGGTTACACAGCTAATAGTACAATGCACAGGCAGTGTTCTACTCAGCCCCCTTCTCTTCCTTGTATGCAGCTATCATAGAATCCAGTAGATTTTGTCTCTTAGATCCCTTCCAGGATGTTTGCTTTCCTCCTTCACTACCTCTTGTCGTCCTGAAGTATCACCCTCTTTGACCCAGACCACTGTGTTAGCCCCTACATTGTCTCTCTGCTTCTACTCGTTCTCCTCTTTTGTCACTCTTCAGTTGAATGATCTTCTTGAAACTAATTATGTTGTGCCATTGCACAGTTTTTTGATTGCAGTTAGATAAAAGACAGATTGCTTTACCATATCCCGAAGGATTTGGGGTGTTCATCCCCCGCCTCTGTCAAGCCTCATCTTGCACACTAAGATTTGCTGTGTCCTCTACCAGCCAATGGCTGTCTTCCAGTCTCTTGTCATTGTCATCACTCTTGATTGACACAGCCCCTTCATGTGTGCCGTTCTCCTCACTCATCCTCAGAGGTTGTCTAAAACACCACTTCTCTCAGGGAACACTTGTCCTAGACACCCTACAACAGGCCCCCTTCCCTTGCTTTTGTGAGCCCTGAGCATGGCTCTTTCCTTCAGTTGCAGCTTTGTGTTTATCTTATTTTTTTTGCATTGCTGAGACAAAATACCTACACCCAAAGTTAAAGGAGGAAATATTTATTTAGCTCACAGTTTGAAGATGTTTCAGTCCATAACTGGCTGGCAGGGTGGCGTGGGAGACAGGCATCACCGAGCAGATGCAGTTTATGGTAGGCAGAAGCTAGCAAAACAACAAGGAAAGGACCATAATGGCACCTTTCTACCCCTTTTTATATTGTATTTAGGCTACCAGGATTAGGGCAATCCCAAACTAATCAGTAAAGTGATTTAGTAATCACTCACCCTTAATCCCAGTATCACACATTTTAGATCCAGCCAGCTCTAAAAAAGCCCCAGCTATAACCGCTTGAGAATTTGGAGGGCATCCAGACTCAAGCCATAGCAGCATTCATTCATCTGAATACTGAATCTGATTTAGTTATTTACCTCTCTCTCCTAGTCTCAGTTTAAGCTCCCCAAAGAAAACTGCACTGTATCTGGCTTGCTCAACTGTGTGTTCTTACAATGACTAGTGTTTACTAAATATTCACTAAGAATTTGCTGAATAAATGAATGAACAGCAACATTGTGCAAAAAGAAGCAAAATTTTAAACTTAGTGTTTATTGGCTGAAAGATCCATACAGGAAGGGAAGGCAAACCTTGCTTAATACAGTCCCCTCATGTGCTGCCAATTGACACCCATTATTTAGATGGAAATAATGAATTGTCATGGATATTTTTGCTTTCTTCTTTAACTCCTTAAAGGGCTTGTTAATGTGTATTTTATGCAAATACCATGGATGGCAAGATTATTTTTAGTGATTTAATACGACTTGAAATATGTCTCTGAAATACTATTCTATTTTTCTATTAACATATTTTAGCAATTTTCAACTTGCGTGGCCAGGCATTTGATTAACCGGGAAAAAAAAAAAGAATTAGATTAAATGTAATTAACACTAGAATCTGATTGCCTTATTAATCTTTAATGTAACTTTAAGAGCATCAAATGTACATATATTCTAGACATGGCTGCTTAACTTTTGATTTTCAGTGAGGCTCATAGCTCTGAGTCTTAGTTGTAAAAAGCATAGGAAACACCTTTCTTATAGTAATGTATCCTTCCCATTGTTGGAAAATACACAAATGCTATTGCACATGACAGGGATAAACAGATAGGTGAATGGCTAATAAGCTCTGATAATAAACAGATAGGTGAATGGCTAATAAGCTCTGATCGCCTTCTGGTCTTCTGAAATTGTCTTTTGATTTTAAAATGGGCTTTTGTTTGTGCTAAATAATGACAAGCACTACCAGACATAAGTTGCTATCTCTGGTGATGCTCTGGATGAGTTAGGTTCTAGCCATATTGCACATGAAAAAATCCTTTGAGACATCTAAAATATGGCATGGTGTAGGCAGAGACGTCCTGGCCAAAGCTCAGAAATGTGTGCCTGGATTTTGGATATGACCTGCAGGGTTGCAGTGCAGGTGTCTGAAAATGAGAGTTGGTGACTATAGTCAGCCAGGGTCTGGAGTCTTGCCCCCAGGAAGCAACCATCAAAAGCCCACAGACTTGGGCTGAATGGCAGCAGAGATCTGCTGATAATCCATATTCACATTTATCCAGGGTTGCTAGAAAGAAACCCAGAGTTGTATGTGAAATCACTAGGCTTTTAACTATTGGCATCTGATCTATATGGGACACCAAAAACATGTGTCTAGAAGGTGAGTTTTATCACTGTGTTCCAGTTTGTGACCTCTGATCAAAACTCTTTACCCTGCTGACCTGACCTATAATGTCTGTCTCTGCTCATCTTTCCAGTGTCAGTTCTTGCTGTTGTTCGGACATCCTGTATTTTGGGTGCACTTGACTCTCTCCACTGCCTCACATACAGCAAGCCATGCTCCTGTCTGACCCCAGCCACACTTTGACTTCTCTCCACGGAGCACATCTCTGTCCTCTGCCTGTCCAGTGAGACCCAGCCACAGTCCTTAGTGCACAAGTCTGGGTCCTGCTGTTCTAGCCTATACTGTCACTAAGATGGTACACATGCAACCACACTCACTGTACTGTATTTTTCTAGACAAAGACTGAATATGGGAATTTGTCCAGAGGTATAGACACCGGGGTGTAATAGCACCTTATGGGATAGCAGATCACTTCTGCAACATTGCTTCTCTTACTTCCAGTAACAGGGAGCTTACTGCCCTTCAGGCCTGTCTGCTAGCTTTTGAGCTGAGAAGGAGTTTGAGCTGAGAAGGAGTTTGTTTGTGTAATCAATTTGAAATCACCCCCCCACACACACCTCTTTGCAGTGCAGGCCCTTGACTTTGTTATCCTTATGTATTTACTTTGAATTCTTTTGCCTTCCAAACAGTTGTTTTCTGAATAAGGAGTCTTTCTTAGATGTCTAGTCAAGCCAAAGGAGCTTTTCTAGTTTATTGAATGTCTAATGTGGTCATCTAAATTTTAATGGGTTTTTGATGAGATTAGTTTGTGCATTTCCTTGAAAATAGATGATGCAAGTATGTAGAAAGTTTCTTTTTTGTAAAACTCTGAGGATCATTGTAATAATAGTTACCTAAACTGCCAATTTCACTGTTTCTTTTAGAAAGCACTTTTCTTTGAGAGTTCTACTTTTATCAGCATTAATATACATTCACTAAATTTGTAACCATATGCTTTGGTTGATGTTAGATCTCTTTGGAGAACTGTTTTTTCCTCCTTCCAAACAATCAAAAGTCTAATTACCTTTATATTGGGCTTTGAGTTTCATAATAGGTTGTAAGACTTAGATATTTCATATCTACATAGATTATCACGAGTATTGTGACATCCAGCTATAAAAATAAAAGTATTCACAGATTTGAAATTTAGCTTATCTAAGCAGACTTTGGAGACTGAAACTTTCTCTTATTATTTTGTGAAACACTGGAAATTTAATGTCAGCTTTAGAATTCCATCCTTCCTTAGTCTCATCAGCTGACCAAACTGCTCACCATAATTTATTGCTGCTTATGTGTTCTCAGGTGCTGTGATACTCTTGGGAAGAACCAATATGTTTCGTTTTAATCATCCAAAGGAAGCTGCCAAGCTCAGGGAGAAGAGGAAGGTAAGGGTGTGCCATTTCCAGGAGGGAGCTTCCTGTCTGGAGTGAGGGTGTAGGTGTTCCAGGTGGTTCCAGCAGCCTAGCTTTTCAGAGTACAGACCTCTGGAGAGGTAGCTCTGTAGACTCTAGACATTTGTTGATATAGTCAGTTTGTTTGCTGGCAGGTGATTGGCTGATAAAGTAGGAGGGCAAGCCAGTGGGGCCCAGAGAAAGCAGGGAAAAGCACTGTGCCAGAGCCTTCTCTTTGGTCTTCCTCTCCCTCAGTTAGTTGAGTATCATTTTGCATTAAGCGGAGAGTGACTTCCAGTTAGCGTCTGTCTGAGGAAATAATCAAAATTGGAATCACCTTCTTCCCAAATCAGCCCCGGTAAATTGGATTTTTCACTGGGATGTGAAGCAGAGCAGGCTGAATTAGGACAAGTGGCGGCCATTGGTTTGGGGAGATGGGGCCATCCAAAAGGTGCACGAGGGAGGAGATGGCCTGAAAACCAAGAGGAAGATGGTGAAGACCACTGCTGATGTTTGTAGGAGCTGGAACTGTGCATCTCCTGCCACTTGATAGGCACAGCTACCGTTGTGACGCCCCCGTTCCAGATTACTGAGAAACTGCATGAAGGCAGACTTTCTCTAATCTGCTCAAGGCAGAGAGTGGGGAGTCTTCCCCTAACAGTTACACAGCTTCTGCACTTGGCCTGCTTCAGAGACTGCCTTTGATTGTTAGCACTTGCAAGAGGTGCAGACAGAGAACCAAGCTCCAGCCTCTCCATGGCTGCTGGCCAGGTCACTGAAGCCGCTTGTCTGTTCTAGCGTAGGCCACCTTGCAGGTTCCCTCCTGGTAGTTTCAGAGGGAGGAAAACTTGTCTGCTGAGAGCTCTCACTAGAAGCCTGGTGGGTCAGACTGTTAAATTTTGGTCCCCTCCCCTCTCTCCTTGTCTTTGTCATTCAGTTAGTGCAGTTGGGCACCAATGATGGCAGTGGCCACTGCCTACTGGGAAGCAGAAGATGTTGTGGCTCTTCCTCCACTGTAACTGTGTGGACCCCGCCGTAGAGTTGGGAATCCGGTGGGTTTCTGTGTGCTTCGCACCCCCGCTCAAGGAGTGGGAAGTACAGGGCTTTGGCAGGCCCTGAGCTGCCATTCTCAGATTGACCCATTGCTCTGGGCATTAATAAGAATATGCGTGTCTTGTTACCCCTCGCAAGCTGAAGGCGGTGAGACTGGAGCACTGGCCTTCTCTTACCCACCTTGGTAACCGCTCTGCCTTGTGTCTGCTCTTAGAGTGGCCTTCTGTCCTCCTTCAGCTTGTCCATGACTGACCTCTCGAAGTCCTGTGAGAACCTGTCCGCAGTCATGTTGTACAACCCTGGGTGAGTGAACGGCTGTGTGCCTCCCCTGTGATTGTTTCTGTCATGGTATTTATTGTGCCAACTCTGTACAGACACTGGATAAAAGTACCACTTCTGCGATGGTGCCTTCCTAGCAGCTCAGCTACAGTCATTTTCCTAGTTCCCTTCCAGCCCTTTCCAGTATGTGCGCTACATAATTTTACTAAGTGAAAACCACAACATAAATGGGATTATTTTTTCTGATTTTTCTTTTTGCTTAACCACATAATAAGTATTGGTAGGAATCGTTACAAGCTTCATTATCATTTTCCTAAATGTCTAATATTTTACAGTTGGCACTTTGATTACTTGGTGCATGATCTCTTTGGCTGGTATGCAATAGGCTTTTTATCTCATTTTATAAATTATTTTTAATAACAGCCAGCCTTGATTCTCAGAGACTCCAATATATTGCTCAGGAAATGGTCTTTGCTACTTTCGAGCAGATAGTAGGAATACTGCTAAGGACCCAGCTGAGTGTTTCTGCCAGCTCAATTGCTTGGGTCCTCTGTGGCTTTGGGAAGATGTCAGTGATTGGGAAAACACCTGGGAACAGCACCTCCCACAACCCCATCCCTGGGCTCCCTCACCTCAGCTCTGCTGGGCCTGCACTTTGCATTATGGGATGCAGGGACCTGCAGAGAATCCCTCCGTGGATAGGGCCTGGGATCTGGCTCCACATTTGATACCTTTGACAGGCTGCAGCTGCAGCCTGGGTCCCCTATCTTTTTGGAGATAATAAAGGAAGAGTCAGGTGGCACAGCTCCAAGTCTGTGACTTCTACAGGCACAGGAGTTCTCCGTTGTGCTGCCTTGGCCTTCCCATTCCCCCTTTCCATCTTCTTATGTGGGGACTGAGGACCCTGGTGCTCACTGAGCAACTCCCTCTGTAAATATGCTTGTACCAGTAAGAACTGTGAGAGGTGAGAACCCTCTCGAAGGAATGGTGTAATCAATACTTCAGAAAGTGCGTTTGGTGAGGTCCTTGATTCCTTACTGCATTATTAACAGCTGCCTCTTGGGGTGACTAAGGCTGAGTCACTTGTTTGCTCATGTCATTTCCAATAAGGTGACACTGATATGTAGTTCTTGAGGGTCAGTTTCACCTGTGTGACACTGTCTGATCAGATCGTTCTGTGGTGTAAAAAAGTGCTTGGCTTCTTCTCCCAGGCTGGGCCTCAGCAAATCCTGAATCTGGATTCTACCTTTTTGGCCTAAGTTTAATCTGGAACCCTTTGCACATGTGATGGGGCTGTTTAATGCCTTTGGAATTCCAAAAGTAATCTTTAATCGGCCTTTGCCTGAGACGCAGGGTCACTAACTGCGTGCCCCAGTTTCTTTCACATTTATACATGCACAAAATTGAGGTCCTTTTTTCTCCCCCAAAGAATATATAGTCCCCTTAAAAGTGATGCCTTTTTTTATTGTTTAATTTTGAGTTCACATAGCTCTTCTCAGGGTTTTTGAAGGGCAGATTAGAGTACACTGGTTTCAGCCTCAGCACATTTCACTGACTTTCTGTGGTGTCTGACATACTTTCCGTCCTGTGCTATGTAAAGTCTGTACTCCCCGCTGAGGCATCCCCGAGGTGTTCTCCCCTCCCCACCTTCTGTACAGTTTTCGTGGCTCAGACACTCCTAGACTCACCTGTGTCTCTGGGGATTTTCCTCTGCAAGGTTCAGTGCCTGGGGTGCATTTTGCCTAGTTTACCAAGGCCCCCTAAAGCAGTCTCTTTTCTGGAAACTGTTGCTGACACATGCTCTCAATCAAAAGTAATGTCCCTCTATGTCATACTGGCGCATTGCTGCTGTCCTTATTTGATTACTCTTGGTAGTGAACCTTCATCTGTCAGCAAATCCTTTCTGAGCCTGCTGTGAATTAGACACAGTTCTAAGTTGCTGGTGATGCTGGCAAGGTCAGTGTACATGATCATTAGAGGAGAGAAGCAATCAGCAGGATTCCTGAAAAATAAATCCTGAAAGTAGAGTGGAATAGGAAGTCTCGGGGCAGAATTCAATGGAGTGTTCAGGGCGGGATTCCTGAGGAGGGAAGGTGAAGCTCCTGAAGCTGAGAAGAAGAATGGAGAAGGATGTGCCCAGGCAGAGGGCAGGACGAGGGCTACAGCGTCAAAATGGGAGGTGAGGAGGAGGTTGGGAGGAGGTGGGCATGGGGCAACACCTGGCCAGCTGCTGCACGTCGTGGCCACTGAAGTCTGGGAAGCTGCCGGAGAGCTTGGGTCAGGAGTGTGTAGAACGCTGGCCATGTGACTTGTGCAGAATGTGGCTCAGGTGCAAGAGGCTGCTAAGAAAGTTACTGCCATAGGCCTAGGGAAAGAGAGTAGTGGCCAGTGTCTGGGTTTTAGCCTTAGAGAGAGAGCAAGGTGCAGTTGATGCTTTAGAGAGCAGGGGTGGAAGGTAAGGGGCTCCCTTCCCTCTGAGGGGGGCAGTCTGCAGGGATGGGCTGAGCTGGTAGCTGGGTAAATTCTGCTTCCTGTTGGATAAAAGGAAGTCTTTTGAGGTCAGGGACCTCTTCTTACTCATTCTGTTTTTTAAAGTGTCAGTCATATAATGTGGTTAATAAAAATTTGGCAAACGGATATAAGAGTGAAATTTTAGCAAAATATATGGGTCCTGTGGGGAAAATATTTTTTCTTTTGTTTTAAATTAATTTTTCTAAGCATGAGTTCCATATGTTGAAGAAAGGCACAATATGCAAAGAAATGCATTTTTGTGACATAGGTCTAGGCCCAGATGACAGTGCAGTTACTGGAACAATCTTAAGGTCCTGTTGAGTAATCTTAAAGGTAGAAGGATGGGCTTGTGAGGACATAGAGTATTAGGCAGAGGCAATCGGAGTGCCAAGCAAGGAGCAGTCTGTTTCAGAGCGAATTGCAGCTGGCTGAGGAAATGGCTCTGGGTGTATCCAACACGAGCATCACGCTTCCCATTCACCTGGCCTCTGGTAACAGACACGTTTTTATCCCTGCTGTCTCTGCAATGCTTGCTGGTACAAATTCAAATAAAAGTCACTTAATAGTTGATCATACCTTCTTTCTCCCTGGCTTCCAGCCCCCCTCAACTTGCCACCTGCTGTAGAGAAATGATTACCCATGAATTAAAATATAATTGCAGAAAAATTGCTGAGTCTGATTTATGAGGAGCAGATATCGTGTTGTGAAGTTGTCAGCTGCAGCTACTGGGCGAAATGAAGCAGAATTAAAGTTAGCCTCGTTGCTTATCTGTCTGTCTATCTATTTGTTTATTTGATGTCACAGATATAAATACCTTCATCCTAAATTAAACACTGTGCTGTATATGGGAAGCGCATTGAAAGAAATATGTTGAATACTTAGGCCTTGGCTTGGTAATTGTTTGAATTGAGATATGAAACTGTTAGACCCAAGTGTGTGCTTGTTTCTCAACATGGAAACGTAGGGCCAAGGGGCTTGGGCAGAGCAGCATGTGTTTATTGAGGCTCTGCTTGCACCACTAGTCTGCGAAGTGTTAGGCACTGACTACAGAGAGCCTAGGAGAAGAGCACAGCTGTCAGCACTCCAAGACTGGTGCTACGAGGGGCCAGTTGGTTCTCTGGGAGGTTGAGGGGCAGGGATGAGACAAGGTGAAGGGATGATCTTCTTGGTACCAGGGCCCCTTTGGGTAGCCGTGCCATTATGTGTTGGGTGACTGAGAAACCAGAAGACTTAGGCTTCTAGGAGGAATCTTTATCAATATGGAGCCCAGTGCATTATGGAATTTGTGATAAGCCTGGTTTCTCAGGAGCCCATTTGTCCTCAACTGCATAGAGGCAAGGCATTTTTCCCTATCTTAATGTCTGCCTTGTTTGCTCTCCAATGTGGATCATTTGCATAGTACAACAACAGCTCACGATGAATAGCTAGAGCGCTTGTCTAGAGAAGAATGAGGCAGAGGGCATAGCAGGTTACACAGGGCCTTAAGTAAAAGACCCAGTAGAAGCCGTGGTCTGGTGCTTTCTTCCTTATGCAAGTACACCTACAGATATCAGTACTACCTGGCTTGGAATGAACAGAAGAATGCTAATTGGACCTGGCCCTGGACCCTCAGGGACCTGAAATCACTCCTCTTGGTTCTTCTGGTGAATTTTCTCCAAGATCCACAGATGACTGCTGTGCAAGTAGGAGAGACAGATTGGAGAGGCGATCTGCAGGGAAAGGAAATTACATGAGTAAAGTAGATGGATGTTTGGAGAGAATTGTGCTGAGAGATAAGAGGGCTCTGTGGGCTGAAGTCCTGGCTGGAAAGAGCTCTGAAAGCTGGGCAGTGTTCTTCAGTTTGCTTTGATTCTCTAGGAGAGCTGCTCCTTGGAGAGATGGGGAGATGTGCCTTCTGTTTGGGCAGAGTATGTTGGAAGTAGGAGAGACTGCAGCTCAGGACCCTCTGGCATGTGCCTAAGATTGCATGTGACATTTTGATGAGTTCTGGGCAGCTTGTTTTTAAGATGTATTCACAATTTGTGGTGAATATGTGTGACCTAAAACACAACTGAATTTTTCTATAATAAATGGGCGGCAACTAATGCCTTTATATTTTTTTAATAGTTGTGGTAAGATGAACTCTCTACAAAAAGTTACTATTTTAGCCATTTTTAAGTGTACAGCAGTATTAATGTGCATTGACATCACTGTGCAAGCAGATGGTCTTCAGAATACTTCTCAGCTTATGAAATGAAATTCTACCCGTAAGTAATTTCTCATTCTCTTCTCATCCTCAGCTCCTGACAACTACTAATTTTACTTTTTGTCTCCATGGATTTGATTACCTTAGGTACCTTGAATAAGTGGAGTCAGACAATGTCTGTCCTCTTGTGAATGGATTATTTCACTTGGCGTGTCTTCAAGACTTACCCACGCTGAGGTGTCAGAATATCCTTCTCTTCTCTTAGGGTTGAGTAATGGTCTGTGCTTTGCCTATGTTTCATTTCTTTTATCAGTTCATCTACTGATGG